TTGGTAGACCAGGCTGGCCTCGAACTCACAGAGATCCGCCTGCCTCTGCCTCCCGAGTGCTGGGATTAAAGGCGTGCGCCACCACCGCCCGGCCATTTCCATTTATTTATTTGGTTTTTTTTGTTTGTTTGTTTGTTTTTTTTTTGAGACAGCATTTCTTTGTGTAGTCCTGGCTGTCCTGGAACTCACCCTGTAGCCCAGGCTGGCCTTGAACTCACAGAGATTCACCTGCCTCTGCCTTTGGAGTGCTGGGATTAAAGGTGTGTGCCTCCACCACCCAGATTGCTTTTATTTTTATTTATTTATTTATTTTAAATATGGAACGCTTCACGAATTTGCGTGTCATCCTTGCGCAGGGGCCATGCTGATCTTCTCTGTATCGTTCCAATTTTAGTATATGTGCTGCTGAAGAGAGCACAATTCCTTTTATTTTTAAAGGAGAGAGAGTATAAAGTTGGGTGGGTAGGGAGGTCGGAAGGATCTGGGAGGAGTTGGGGAGGGAAAACAATTAAAATATTGTTTAAAATATTTTTAATAAAAAATAAAGAAAATCTTAGGGAAAGAGGGAGAGCGCGACAAATGTACACTGTCACACCAAATGTCATCTTATTATTCGAATTTACAGCCCATCTTGGTGGTGGCAAGACACACCTCTGGCATGTTTTACAATTCCTTGGATTATGTTTTTAAAAAAAAGAACTCAAAAGCACGCTTTTAATCCTAGCACTGGGGAGGCAGAGGCAGGGGGATCTCTGAGTTCAAGGCCAGTCTGGTCTACAAAGCTCGTCCCAGGACAGCTAGGGCTGTTGTACAGAGAAACCCTGTATTAGAGAGCGGTGGGGAGGGAGGGAGAGAGAGGGAAAGAAAATAGCAAGGAAGACAGGAACAGCGCAAGGACAGTCAGGGTGGAGGGGACTGCAAAGGTCAATGTTGGTGCTGGCAAAAGGGAAAGGAAAGATTCCGCAATGGTTATCAGCAGTGACTGTACAGACTTCACATAGGATTCCGTTTCAAAAACAACAGCAATCCCACCTATTATAAGCCAAGGAAAATATATTAATAATTTGTTTTGTTAAACATAAGGGACCCAGAGCTTTGGTTGTATTTTGCAGCTGGCAACTTCTCTACCAACAATTTGCCTTTGGAGAAAATCTCCACCCGCTACAATGCCCTGCGAGATGCGGCTCCTGCCTGAATCTTGGTCTCGATGCTGGAAATCCTCTTCCTTCTTGTTTATTTTAGCCCAGTGTCTTCTCTCTGTCTCTTCCCCAACCCCGCGCCCCGACGCTTCTTGTTTGTATCAAACCTCTTTTCCTCTGAGGTTTAGGGAAGCCGCTCTTCCCTCTGCCTGCAAGATGGCTTTGATGCTCTGGATGGTTCTTAGGAGTCTTCCCATCAGAGGCCTTGCCCGACCTCATCCCACTACTACTGCCTACTCTCCATTACAGCCCTTTATTTCCCGCAGAGTGCTTATAAAAATGTCTCATCTTTTCATCTGTTGAATATTTTCTTTTGTGACAAAATCACGTATTATCCTCTAATGAGAGAAGGCTCTAGGCAGAGGGGACAAAAGGACATTGAAGTCCACAGGCCTTGCTGCAATTCTGTCCACAGTGGTCCAACCACCAGGCCTGTCCACGTCTCAAGGGTAGAACGTACCCCCATCCCAAGAACCCCGCTGAAATCCCAAGAAGGCTCCCCAGCGGGGTGCGCTTCTGGACCGCACCGCTGCGGACCTGGAGCCTGGCTCCGCTCCCCGCGGGACTCGGGGGGATTTCAGATCTGCCCCATCAACTTCCCGAAAGGGCGGGCCACAAGCACAGCGGTCCCCTCGCGGCTACCCGACTGGCTTTCCCGTGTGCTCCGCCGCTCCATAACACCTCTTCGGCCGGAACTTCCTGGGGCGGCAGCCAATCACAGAGTCCTTCCCGTCCGTCCCCGTCTCAGCCGTCTGCCAATCGGAGCTTCTCCGCCGACGCCCCTTAAAGGCGCCGCCGCCGCCGCGGAGCCCCGCGAGCCGCTGGAGGTTCCGGCCCCCACCCCGCAGTATGGAGGCCGGCCGGGGGCGGCCCGGGCCGGAACCGGAGCTCTCGGCGGCAGCCGCGCCTCCGGCCGCGGCTTTCAGCGACCAGCCGGTCCGAACGCCCTCGAAGCCGCCCTGCGTCTGGCGGGGGTCCGGGGAGGAAGAGGCTGAGAACGCTGGGGTCGCGAGCCGCCCCCCGCGAGCGTCCCCGAAGACGTCGAGCGGCGGCAGCAGCAGCGTCCAGCGGCCGGAGCCGGACGCTTGGGAGGTCCGGCCGGGCCTCCGGGCGACGCCGTCCGGGGCCGGGGGTCTCCGGGGGCCCGCAGGTCCCGAGCTCGCCCCGCCCCCGTCCTCCTGCCACCGGCAGCCGGAGCCCAGCGAGAAGCAGCAGCCTTCCGCCCCGAGCGTCCGCCGTCGGGGGAGCCCGGGCGGCGTCGAGATGAACGTGGAGCCGCCGCTGCAGGAAAGCGAAGAGCCCGACGAAGAGGAGGAGGAGGAGGAGGCGGCGGGTCGGGCTGGCCGCTCGTTCCCCAGCCGCCTCCAGGACAGCCGCAGCCTGGACGGGCTGAGTGGGGCGTGCGGCGGAGGGGGCGCCTCCGCCAGTGGCGAGGCCGGCGCGGGCGGGGGACGTCGCGCCACCATCTCCAGCCCCTTAGAGCTCGAGGGCACGGTGAGCCGCCACGGCGACCTCACCCACTTTGTCGCCAACAACCTCCAACTCAAGATCCGATTGAGTGGCGCCCCACCGCCCCTTCCCCCGGCCTCGGTGCGGCCCTGCCTGACGCCCGCACCCACCCCCACCATCCCCCCCATCGACCCCGACGTGCTGCGGGATCTGGAGCGGCTGAGCCGCGACCTGGGCGGCCGGGTGGACCGTCTGCTTCGCGGGCTGGGGGGTGCGGTGCAGGAGCTGACAGCCTTGAGCGTGGGCTGTATCCAGACCTACCGCGACGCGGTGGATTCCTTAGGCGAAGCCGTGGACATGAGCATCAAGGGCATGTACACCTTGCTCGCGCGCTGCGAGGAGCTGGAACGGGCTCTGCAGCCGGTCCAGGGGCTGGCACGCCAAGTCCGAGATATCCGGCGCACTCTGGAGGTGTTGGAGGCCCTGTGCAAGTGACCAGGAGCACAAGAGGAGAGAGGCCATGCCTAACCTGGCCGGGCCAGGGTCCAGGAGGACCCCAAGGATTCTTCAAGGAGCCCTGGTGGAGACTGCCGGCTGTGGGGGAGGCCTGTGCGTTAGAGGTTCTCCCACAAGCATTTAGGTGGTGGCCTGTGCCCGTTCTAAGCATACGGAGTGTGAATGGGGAAGTGGTAAAGATTTTCCTGGTGGGAAGGGATGTAGCTCTGCTTCTGTTCAGTTGGCCATCTGTAGCTACCCTGTACCTCCTGACTCTTCTCCCTAGCTAGACCGCCATCCTTGGGAAACACGGGCCCTTAGATCTCTGCCGGGGCATGGGGCAGACCCCCGCGTGTAATGAGAAGAGAGAGGAAGTGGCCACAGCCCGCTGTGGCTGTCCTGATTCCAGTGATCAGATGTCAAGTTCCAGGGCTTTCGGAGCTCGAGTGGCCTGGGCGCACTCCTGCAGATAGATGCATAACCTCCTGCTTCTTCCCTCTGGTCCCTAACATGCCACGGGGTGGAGCTAACAGGAGCACCTTTCTTGGTGGAGGGGGTGAGGTGGGAGGTGTCTCGCTGCCCTCGGTTCAGGTGGAATTGTTGCTGGGTTTGAAGCCCACCTGTTGGGGAGTATTCTAATCAGTTTTGGCTTTCTGAGTTTTGTGGAATTAAAGTGCCGCTGCTGCTAAGGCTGAGCCTGTTTTTGTGTCGGGTCCAAGAGGTTGACAAGTCAAAGGAATGGGAATGAAGGGCGGGGTGGGAACTGGGAGTGTGGGGGAGGAAGTCCCGGCTAGAAGGAGAAGGATAGGGGTCCTGAGTCAGATCGGAAGGACATAATTACACAGAGGGCCCAAAGAGCCACTAAAGGCAGAACCTTGCAGAAGCAAGCGTCTTCAGAGAAGGCTTTTCTGCTCCGGTGGACAGGCAGACGCTGAGCAGAGTGGTTATCTTGGTTATGGAGGAAATATAAACTCTTGACAGCTCTGTCCTGGTCATATCGGAGTCATGTCATTTGAGACAATTGTGTCCCAATCACAAAGGCTGTCGTCTCCTTACAATTTACACAGCACATTCAGAAACTACATGTTATGATCATAGGATCTCCAAGATCACAAAAGTGGTCTTCCCACAACACAAGACACTCCCACATTTTGGACATATTCCAGTACATTTAGTTCAAA